CCTTGTCCAAGCAATTATACACTTTATTAAACTATCATCGGTAGGTTTGAAGAGATCGGGCAGATTGCCGATCCGCGTAACGACTGACATTGCGCGAGATACGCCCAAGGCACTAGAAGACCACGCGCTATCTAATGAGTAGCAATATTTTCCGCCAGTATGCATTTGCAGTATTAAGAACTTGTATACATATGTAGGATATAATAACGATTATCAAAATGATGGCTGCTAAAAAACGAAAATCGCAAAATGAAAATTCCTATATTGGGTTTGCTGCTGAGGTTTGGCTAGAAAAATTTATCAATAATTCGGCATACTTTGGGGCGTGTTTTCTCAAAATATATTGTGGACAAATTTCGTTGCTTAGTAGAATTTGTTTGGTTCTGGAAAACTCTCATCCGACCTTCTGTATCGTGTATCCTCTTTCACGCAGGACCGCTTTCAATCTTTTGTGAATGGTCCTATGCATTCCTTGTGTCTAAGGGAGCGTTCACTTAGTCTTCAGTCTAACGCTATTTCGAACATAGTTTGTTACACATTTGGTGTTTTTGCGATATGAATCATTCAGTCATGAAACTGCTTTTGAGTACTAAATTCCGGCACAGAATCACATTCAATATACACTATGCCAGGATCTGAGCGATACAAAACTTTTATCTACCAAACCACCTTTTACGTTATGTGTTCTCACTTCTTTGCTATCACGCCTGAATTGTGTATGAATTTCGACTGGAAACATTCAACCTAAAGTTATTTTGAGCTGGAATTTGTAAAACAAAAACTTTTTGAGAGCACTCATGTCATAATTTTAGATCACACCCGCTCGCCCACGTGAGCTTACGAGGCTGAAGAAGAATCAGAGGACAGTTTCGCGCACTTACGGTGGTTGCCTCTCACCCAATGCTGTCAAGGAGCGCATCATCCGTTCCTTCCTGCTTGAAGAGCAGAAGATTGTTTCTAAAGTGCTCAAGTCAAGAAGGGGCGCCGAGTAAACAAAGTTGTTAATTGTTTCCATAAATTGTTTTTATTTGTTGCTGTTTAGTTTTTGAAGGAAGGAAAGACCAATATGCAGTTCGTAGAGCGATTTCTATAGAGCCAGAAGTATAAATACTGTGGTTGACAACGAGTGATCTCATCTCCACAATTTTTTGCTAATAAGCTTATTAACCCTTTGCCCGATAGCGTTAATCTTACATGGAAGGCATCAATTAGGTATGTAGTTACAGTCAGCTCTGGAATTGCGTATTCGTCCAAATTTCTGTGTCGATCAAGAATTCGTTCCTAGTTGAATTGCAACCAATAACGGATATTTATCACATGTCAAGACCCGCAATCATATTATCATTGAT